AAGACCGGGGGTAATTAAAGACCGGGGGTAATTGAAGACTGGGGGCAATTAAAGACTGCGGGTAACCAAAGACTGCGGGTAACCAAAGACTTCGGGTAAGTAGAACCCCTTCACCGGAGACCTAGTCCAAAGATTATGCAACAAGCTAGCTCAACTTCCAGGAACCAAATCAACAGTTTCTGTGATCTCACCCAGCCTTAATCTTGAACTTTTAGCCGGCGGTCGTACAGTACCGGCTACTTGCCAGAGTTCCGACCGTACGTCATGTTTGCCAAGCTGAAAGTTAGTTCTGGTAGGTTCTTATATTTAGTCACGTGACAAATTCCTTCCGTAGACAAAACTTAGATGGGCATAAGGACTTTGTTGGCCGACCGAGAGGGAGCAGTGTGTCACGCGTGATACGCTATACCAACTTACGTTTTGACCTTGTTTATGTGTAATAAATGTAATCCGAATGAAAAATTAATGCTACCGTACCTTGTTGTTCGATGGCGCACCTTCCAGGCGTTGTTCATGGAGCGATAAGCAGCGGCAAGAACGACTGAGAGAACCTCAAAACCAATGAGTGACCTCAAAAATGGGTTGCAGATGGGCTTTCGGGCAGTACTTCGGTATATGTTCGACGTTGCTAAGGCAGGGGATGAGAAAGCAGGTAGTGGAGAGTGGCAACTAACATTGAAGGGAAAATGGTCAGGCCTACCAATTTGCAGCAATGATCGTGAACTGATTTTGTTGCCAGGACTTATGGTTACGGTGGGGATGATCTCATTTCGTTACCATGCTGGTAGATCTAATAGTTTCTACTGTAGGCAGGGTGGTAGTGCAATGCACAATGACTCCTTTGGAAAGGAAGTACTATAAGGGCTACTATGAGTAATTATTGACTAGAGATAGAATATATCAAGATAATGCAGTACGCACCACGGCTGCCCCTCGATATTTGCCTTAACATTATCAAACGCTTCATGCGTCTTATCTCTTTGCTCCTTGTATTCAGAATCGCAGCATAGTTTGTGCGACCGGGATGAATCTAGAGCCTCAAGCGTACAGGTTGTTTCCTCATGAATTGAAAAAGAGGGATAATACATGTATTGTGATCATTACTGTAAGTCTTACTCAAAATCACGTAACTTCTCACTATATGCCAAGCGACTTTGCTATCATACTAACCGGTTATGAACTAGCGCAATAAGCATGGGATTAAAGGGACATTCTTAAAGGAGACTAAGTGAGCGTTAAGGTGACAAAAGAAAGGAGCCGAATTTCGAATGCGGGCCTATAAAAGTACTATCCCATATTGCTGTAGCTGTCATTCATCACTTCCCAGTTGCCTTTTTAGTACCAATTGAGTGTCCGTCTGGTTGGTTTGCACCTTTGGGGTTGGCAGATTTGCTCCGTAAAGTCTTTGCCATGACTCGAACCACGCTAGAATTGGATGTCGCCTTTGGTAATTCACTGGACGCTGCGCAAAAGAGAGGTGATGATTTGCTAAGCTGGATCACAACGGTGTGTAATGTCATACGATCGTTTTCTATGACCGAAAGGCGCGGAAATATTGTTAGGGCATTCTCATCCTGGGTGTTCTGTGCAGTTTGTGCCTCCGGTCGGCTGTTGTCGTCTAGAGTAAAGGGAAGCCAATACTCGTCAGGGCCTGGCTGTTCAAAATCTGGCTCGTATCTTCGCTTGGCACGTCGTATGGGTTGCCAAACTCCTGCGGCTTTCCGCACGATCTTTTCCAAACTAGAGCGCATTGACATATGTTGTGCCTCTGTCAGTAAATCGTCAAAGTATGACAGCACGCGACCGACGACAGTCTGGATAGTCGACGAAAGAACTTTTTCTTGGGCTTGCGTATTTATTGACTGCAGGACAGACCGGCAAAATGATTCCTTCTCACTGTCAGTCATGGCAAGATCACCAAGGATTTTCCGAATACGGGCATCTTCAGGGATGATGTAGCATGGCTGGAAGATATATTTGTCGATCTCCCTCGCGAGGATAGCAAGAATAATTGCTAAGCGGATTTGTTTCGCTGGCGGGGTATTCGAACAAGGTAGGGGAATGTGGTAGTTACGGACAAGATCGCAGCGTTTTAGATTGGTCCACGCTGAGCCGTTCTGAGGAAATAGATCAGTCAGCCATAATTGATATCTTGCTGTCAATACGTACCGAGATAGCTTCTGTAGTGAAGTCGACATTGAACTGGGAGTACAGCTCTGTCTTGGCAAACTGCCACAGACCAGTGAAATCATCTATCCTATAAGCTATTAGTATACTATAGCTTCTACTGTGTTTCCAGGTGTCACTTACAGGGAGCCCTCGTCCCCTTCATAAAACCCAGAGGCAAATCCTTCAATCGTGTTGAGTCTGGCATGAGTGTTATCCAGCAGTTGTTGAAGGTTCGAATTCTTCTCCTCAAGTGCCTTTGCATTCTCCTTAGTAGTAGAAAGGCTATGTTTTAATCCC